ATTCCCAGGTGCAGCCCTCAGGACAAAAAGTTTGCCCACCCCTGAGTTAGGTTGTTTGCTCCCCACTGTTCCTATTGGGAGACTCTTCTAGAACCTTTCTCCTCAGATCATTAGAAACCTGCTTCTTATGTCAAGCCTGAATTTATTCATGGCCAGTTTATATTGCACCAACATTGTCCTTTAGCTTCAATAGCTCTTCTCCCTCCCTGGTATTTACCCCCTGCCCCCCGATGCAATTATACAGAGCAACCAGATCTGCTCACAGCCTTCATTTTGAAGTGGACTGAGAGTCAGGAGTCTGGGGTTCCATGCCCAGCTCCACAACTGACTTTCTGTGCAGCTTTTGGCAAATCACTTGTGCCTCAGTTTCCCCATCTTTACTAACCCTTGGTAAAGTATATGCTCTGAGGGAAGGTGTTAGAGAAAACTGAGGTGGATATTGTAAATAATGGTGGGTTCTTCAGATCACCATGGGTAAAACGCACCAGTGAGTATCCATTGGCCAGAAACAATTACTTCTGCCATCTGAAATCCAGAGGCTGTCGTTTACCACCAGGACAGTCCCAAACTCGCCCTGCCACCTCCCTGCAGGGAACATAAGCACTGCCAGAGATGCGCCATAGGATAAAACAGGGAGTGGATTGATCCAGCTGATGCTGGATTCTCCATCTCCTGGGCCTGACTAAAGTGCACAGACATCCTTCTGTTTCCTAGTTCAGTTCCTTGAACGGTGGGTCTGACACTAGCCGTTAGTCCCAGCAGCCTGTCATTAGCCCAGGGCTGGTCATTGAGAGCAAAGGGAAGCAGAAAAGCTGCAATTCCAGCTCAGGGGGTGCAGAAGGAGCAGGAGCTCCCAACCCTCTGCTCTCTGGCCTTCTAGGCAAACAACTTCAATCTGTCTAAAATGCTAATCATCCACCTTGCCCACTGCTATGGCTACATCTAGCCCCTGGCAACACCCCCACTCTTCATTACTACACTTAACCCTCAGCCCCTTCACTGCGGCCAAGCCCCTCGATCTACCACTCTTCATGGAGCTCATCACCCATCCCCATGTCTTCTCCCATGCTGCCCATGCAACCCAAGCACTCTTCACCCCATCCACCACTCCATGCCTCCACCTGGTGCCCTGTTCTGCCCCACCTCCCAGCGGGTGGCATTGAGGAGAGGGCTCTCCAGCGGATGAGGTATGGGGGCACACCACAGGAGACAGATCTTAAGGACAAAGAGAATGACACATTTGGATGAGAAGGAAGTGCTGATAGGAGCTGCCAGATCTAAGTAATGTGACTGGGAGTGGAAAGGTGATGGTAATCTGTGTTCTTTATGGATCTGGCTTCACCAGCCCAAGGACAAGTCAGACAGGGAGAGCACTTTTAATTACAGAACAAAGGAGCCTGTTGTGGAGGAGAGGCAGGAGGGCTGGGGAAAGGAGAAAAGCAGGGAAACAGGGACCAGCTGGTCACTGAGATCAACTCTGCCTCTTCCCCAAACATCAGCCGCATAGAACAGGAAAGATTTCAGGTCTCTAAAGCAAACACTCTGCTTGATCCCTGCCAGCTAGCAGCTTCCACCAGCCTCTTTTCCCAGCTCATGTCTCTTCTGTTATAAGAACTGAGGTCACCAGAGGGGACTTCCCGTCAGTGAGAATGGGAATGACAGAGCTTGGCTCGGCTCCTCGGCTCTAGGAGGACATGGAATATAAAGTGGCTTTGAGCACCACCATGCTCCCTTCATTTTGGGCTGCCGGTGGGTCTGCTTACTACACCTCTGGCCTGTCTCTTCTCAATCACAGGGATGTCTCACACGCGTGTAGGGTGACCAGACAGCAAATGTGAAAAATCGGGACAGGGGGTGGGGGTAATAGGAGCCTATATAAGAAAAAGACCCCAAAATCGGGACTGTCCCTATAAAATCAGGACATCTGGTCACCCTACACGCGTGCATTCGTGTGAATGGGGTGCATGCACTTGTGTGTTTCTGTGTGCGCATCTTTGCCTAAGTACGTACACACATGTGCATGGGAGCCTGAGAAGGTGTGTGTGTGAGCGACTGAATATGTGGGGCATGTGAGGGTGGGTATATGACAGCAAGAAGCTGTGTGTGTAAGAGCGGCTGCGCGTGTAGCTGCATGCACATGTTCGTAGGTGATGGACCTGGAATCTGTGAGTGTTTCTACACTCTCAAAGTCGTTAGTGCTGTGAGGGCTTAAGGTTACAGCACCAAATTACTCCTTGATTACTGGGAGCAACTCCACCTGACTCTGCACACACCTGGCACCAGGCCAAAAATGGCTGCAGAGAGGCTACTAAAGCTCAATCAATAGACTCTTTGCAGTATACCCCCAAAAGAACTGAGAATCTGGATATTTACTTTTCACATTTGTATCTCCTGGGAGCACATTTCTCTTTGGGTTTTCAATTTTCTTTATTAAAGTGAAGGGTTTATAGCTTGGGCAGGGTACAAGCAGTGGAAGAGTCACACACACGGCTCTGCCCAGGCACCTCAGTCTTGTCCCGCACCACCCCCGGCTATTCCACCTCTCGCTCAGCTCTGTCACTGCACTTCCATCCTAACCACTGTTATTCCAGTCCTCCCACTCACCTCCATGGCTGGGCCAGGGCCCCTTCAGACCTGACATGCAGTACCCCTGCTATGCTAGGCCTGGCTCACTCTGCCCTCTGTCAGGTTTGGTGGCATGGATAAATAAATATATTTGTCCAATAAAAACTGCCCATTGGTTTACATTTTTTATGTTCTTTTGTGTTGGTTATGGACCTCCAGAAATTAGTTTCTAAGAAGGGGTTACACTAGTGTAAAACTGGGGCAACCGAATAGAGAATCAGGCTCCTTCAACTGATATATTCATTTTCAGGTTATGATTCCTCCACCGCTCTTCCTAAAGAAGCTGAAATTAACATGGCTTTTCTTGTTTACAGCCTCATTAGTGCACCAAAGTCATTTGTGATGCCCATACCAGTCTGGGAATGGGGTTGCTAAGTAAAGATCTACTGCAATAACAGCACTGTGGAGCACAAAGCATTATTTGCATAGATCACAAACAGTGACTATTTGCCCCTCTTTTAGTGAAGAAGAGATGGATTATTATTTTTTTCTTTTAAAAGATGTTTAGCATTCAGACTTTACCTATCTGATTATAACAACACAACTCAACAGTGTCCTTTCAGTTACTACACACCAAAGTGTTGTTGCTTAATTGAGTCCTCTGATGCATGTATCCTGCACAAGGAACCAAATTCTGTGTGCCAAGGCACATTGTTTTACTTCTTTATTCTGACATATATAAATAAACCCAAAAAGCACCATCCTCTGGACTCTGACATCATTCTATACATTTTACAGTACCAAAAATTCATTCAAAGAGCTGTAAAATAATGAGTAGTCACTCTAACCAAACCTCACCTATCAGCTGACCCAATTACAAACCCTTGTCCAATCCAGAGATCCCTCAGGCCACCCCCCAAACATGAGTTTTGTTTGCCAAACAATATATTCCCTCCAAGCCAGTAGGAAATGAAGGCCATGTCGGCACTACAGAGCCTATGCCGGATTAGCCCCTAGTGTAGATGCAGTGTATGTCAACAGAGGGAGTTTTGTTGCCAGCATAGGAATACCACCTCCTCGAACTACGTTAGCTGCATGGACAAAAGCTGTCTTCTATCAGCAGAACACCAGAATCTCTGGCTGGGATGATTTAGTTGGTGTTGGTCCTGCTTTGAGCAAGGGGTTGGAGTAGATGAACTCCTGAGGTCTCTTCCAACCCTAATCTTCTATGATTCTAACTCCACCTGTACTGGGGGGTTTCGTCAGCATAGCTATGCTGCTGGGGTGTGTGTGTTTTTTCACACCCCGACTGACATAGCTACACCGGTAAACTTTTCCAATGCAGACCAGCCTTAGTTTTTCAGCAGAACAGGTCCATTGCCTTGATGTGGTGAGATGCCCCAATCACGATAAAGGCACAATAGAGTCACTTTAAGGTCAGAAAGGACCATTATGATCATCTAGTCTGACCTCCTGCACAACGCAGGCCACAGAATCTCACCCACCCACTCCCACAACAACCCCCTAACCTATGTCTGAGCCATTGAAGTCCTCAAATCATGGTTTAAAGACTTCAAGGTGCAGCGAATCCTCCCGCAAGTGACCCGTGCCCCACGCTGCAGAGGAAGGCAAAAAAACCCCAGGGCCTCTGCCAATCTGCCCTGGAGGAAAATTTCTTCCCAACCCCAAATATGGCGATCAGCTAAATCCTGAGCATGTGGGAAAGACTCTATATTTCCTCAACCTCCCACACCATCCCAATCCCCGGATGTAAAGTCTGGCCAGCTGTATCAACTGAGCCAAATTGCATCTGGGACTGCCCCCTGGGTATCATGGCAGCCCTGAACACCTGAGAGTGTATCAGCCAAGCAGCTCCTGAGCCACCCAGTGGACACCAGTCCTACATAGATGCATTGCTCTGAAATGAAGAAGGCAACCTTCAAAATGCCCCGGGCTCTGATCATTTGCTACTTCCCAGCCTGCAGGGGGTTAGTTCATTTCACCCCCTGTGATACATTGCTGCTGTAGATATTCTCCTCCCAGCACTTCCATAGCATAAATCACTGGGGTGACAGCCAGGTTTTGAACAAAAGGAAATTAGAAATAGATATTCCACCCTGAGAGCTGTATGCATCATTTTTTTCTGACAACTCAGGTAAACCCTCTGTGTACCTTATACTCCTCTCCCACAAGATTCTCAGTGTCCCTGATTTATCACGCTGTGCCTTCAGCTCGGAGATGCATCCTCCTGTGACACCTCGCAAGTGCCAGCCTATTCAGTGAAGATTAAGACCAAACAGATCAGCAGAGACCAGCCTTATGGCCAGCACTGCAGTCTCAACTCCTTGCCTGTTCCATTTGCTGAAAGAGCAGATCTTATAACCAAACCAAGAAGCAGCATCTCAAGCCCAGAAGTAAAATTCACAGGTACTCACACAGTGACATAGGGCCATGGCACGTTGCCCTTCTGGGTGGCTGGCAGGTTGCTGGCACCGTGCAGAGTGACAGAGATGGATTCCTTCCCAGAGTGTGCCAGGTGCCAATGATTGGTTTCTGAAGTTTGTGCGGCCTCATCCATTCCAGAGGGTGCCTCTAATACCTGCCAGGTGCAAGCAGAAAGAACTTCAACGTTTGTTCTTCCCCGGTGCAAATTCACCTTCCACCTCCAGCTGACCCACATCTCCAGCTCTGTTCTAAAGGCTCAGGTGTGTGCCCTCAACAAACGAGCTGTGCTTGCATATTTCTCAGACTACTTGGAGAGACGAGTCTTTCCCATGGGTGCCAAGGTGTCTAGTGCTCGGGCCAACAGGCTCAGTCCCAGAGCAAGAGTAAATTCAGAGATGTCTCGTCTCCTCTCCCTATTCACATGTAACTCCCATGGAAACTAGCAGGAGTAATACATGCAGAGGAAGAGGAGTTCACAACCCAGGAGAAGGAGCTGAGTTGTGAGCCCACAGCTTCCTCAACAATGCCCTGCCATCGTGCCGCAGGCCAGGCCAGGAGGGACAGCCCATCATAGCAGCAAAAATCGAAGTTTGCATGGACCAGTCAGTACTTAGCTTCTCTGCTGAACTTGCCAACAGGGGGGGGCTAATTAGCAGGGGGCAGGAGGGAGGCTGAGGTGTGGACAGAGGAATGTGCGGTTCAGAAGGTAGAATATAAGAGGGTAGGGAGTTTGGGGTACAGGAAGGAGACTAAAGGGTTAGGGAATGGAGGAGAGAGGGAGATGGAATAGCTAGGAGACTGTGAAGAGGAAAGAGGTAACATATAGGGTGGCAGGTGAATTAAAGAGTAGGAGACTGGGTGGGGTAGAGAAGCAGGGAGGGGAGGGGGACAGGACAGCAATGGAGTTGGGGGCACTGCAGGCATACACTGGCAGCACTCCCACCCCAGGGGCCAGGGGAGGTTAACCGGAGTCCCCTTCGAGCAGCTGGGGAGGGCCTGCATCTCTGGGGATGCACTGAAGGTTGAAGCACACATAATTTGGGGCAGGCGGCCTCCCACTAAAGGCACAAAACTCAGAAGGCAACCAGCCCCCTGTCCCCCCGTGCAACGTATTACCATTATTAGAAAAATCCTGTGATCACTTCAGCCCGGATTGTGAATTTGATGCATGATGGGCTGGCAATACTCTACCTTGGAAGCTTTTCCCATGTTTGGCTTCAGACTGAGGATTGCGCTCTAGGTACCTCCTCTTCCCCTGGAACTCCCCTGCTACCTCTGTGCAGGGAGCTGGTCAGAGGGAGGTAAGGGGCAGGCAGCCAGCAGGGGGCAGCACAGGAGAAGGCAGGAGCTCTACTCCCCTGCTGGTGGGAGGCTGGAAGTGCAGGGTCTAAACAAAAAACCCAACCACTCTGCTCAGTGCTGAGAGTCTGGCTGGGGCGGGAATGAGTTGAGGAGGTGACACCCTCCACACATCCCCATGGCAATGAGCCTGTACTCCAGTGTCCTTGAGCACAGACTCTTTGCTATGCCAAGGATGCTGATGGGCCTAGGTAATAAGTGTTCTCAGCCCTACCGGTGGCACCATGGTTACAGCCATGGTGTGCAGTACAGGTGCAAGAACGCGATTGGCCAGTGAGGGTTCTGAGCTGTGTGACAGCACTGTGAAAGCACCCCAGGTAGGGCTCAGCCTCGGTTGCCATCACAACAAACAGGCAGACAGGCAGGATTTGTCTACACAATATCGTAACCTGCTTTAAAACTGGTTCATTTAAACTGGTTGGAGCCATAATGCTGATTAGACCCCAAGCAGCCTGAACTGGTTACAACTCCATGATCAGCAGGCCATCAGGAGTCTGGTTCCAATATGGGGCACGTCAAACAGGCTCACGGTGACAGTAAAGACATAACAGCACCCCAGAAGCAATCAGTCTCTCCAGCTACTCGCACTTTTCACTGAGGGTATGTTTACACTATGAAATTAGGTCGATTTAATAGAAGTCGATTTTTTAGAAATCAATTTGATACAGTCGATTGTGTGTGTCCCCACTAAGCGCATTAAGTCGGCGGTGTGCGTCCACAGTACCGAGGCTAGCATCGACTTTTGGAGCGTTGCACTGTGGTAGCTATCCCACAGTTCCCGCAGTCTCCACTGCCCACTGGAATTCTGGGTTGAGCTCCCAATGCCTGATGGGGCAAAGACATTGTTGCGGGCGGTTCTGGGTACATGTCGCCAGGCCTCCCTCCCTCCGTGAAAGCAACGGCAAAAAATCGTTTCTCGCCTTTTTTCCTGGGTTACCTGTTAACATATCGGATGGGAATCTGAGGTCACGGCAGCTCCCAGAAGGATTATCCATCATAAGGACATACACCTTGTATGCTACAGTAGACAATTTTATCTCTGAAAGTGACTAGCAGGGCTTCTTCAATAGCACTGAAAAGTTCAGTGCACCTCAGAGGATCTAGCCAGAGTCAGTAAGGAACGAATACCCACCACCGATCATCTCCACTGCTGCTTGCTCCAGTTGTCCTGCTGAATTACATCTCTCATTTTTCCAGTCTCCAGATTCTGCTAATAGATTAAGCCTGCTCTGATGTCTGGCCAACAGTTGGAGGAGAGATGCATTTCCTGTTTACTCTCACAGAGACTAGAGATCAATGACAGGGCCAGCTTTGGAAAGACAGTCATACTGTAGATCAGGGGTCGGCAACGTTTGGCACGCGGCTTGCCAAGGTAAGCACCCTGGCGGGCCGGGCCAGTTTTATTTACCTGCTGACGCGGCAGGTTCGGCCGATCGCGGCCCCCACTGGCCGCGGTTCGCCGTCCCGGGCCAATGGGGGCGGCGGGAAGCCGCGGCCAGCACATCACTCTCCCGCGCCGCTTCCCGCCGCCCCCATTGGCCCGGGAGGGCGAACCGCGGCCAGTGGGGGCCACGATCGGCCGAACCTGCCGCGTCAGCAGGTAAATAAAACTGGCCCGGCCCGCCAGGGTGCTTACCCTGGCAAGCCGCATGCCAAACGTTGCCGACCCCTGCTGTAGATGATCCCCAGGGAGAGACAGGAATTGCTGCTTGGAGTGAAGGTATCACAGGAGGAGCTGTGATGGGTTCAATCACAGAGACCCCCTTGAGACTGTCACATGACGTGCTGAAACTACCCTTGAACCCATTTTCCCTGCCAGTTTGGGACTCCAGAACCCTGTTTTGTTGAGACAGACATGCTACTCTGCTGCAACACGGACCCAGGGTCTGAACCACGCCCCTAAAGCTGCAGACTTTAACCAAAACTGCTCAGCAGGTTTCCTATCTCCAGCATCCAGACACCCAGCTCCCAATGGAATTCAAACCCCAAGAAATCCATTTTACTCTGTATAAAGCTTATACAGGGTAAACTCATAATTTGTCTGCCCTCTATATCACTGATAGAGAGATATGCACAGCTGTTTGCTCCCCCACTTACTCTGGGTTAATAAACAAAAGTGATTTTATTAAGTATAAAAAGTAGGATTTAAGTGGTTTCAAGTAATAACAGACTGAACAAAGTAAGTTACCAGGCAAAATAAAACAAAACATGCAAGTCTAAGCCTAATACATTAAGAAACTGAATACAAGTAAATCTCACCCTCAGAGATATTTCAATAAGCTTCTTTTACAGACTAGACTCCTTCTTAGTCTGGGCCCAATCCTTTCTCCTGGTACAGTTCTTGTTAGTTCCAGCTCAGGTGGTAACTAGGGGTTTTCTCATGACTGCCACCCCCTTTGTTCTGTTCCACCCCCTTCTATAGCTTTGGCACAAGGTGGGAATCCTTTGTCTCTCTGGGTCCCCACCCCGCCTTCTAAATGGAAAAGCACCAGGTTTAAGATGGATTCCAGTACCAGGTGACATGGTCGCATGTCCTGTGTGACCCCAAACCTCCATTCTTTCTGGCCTGACTCATATGAACACAGGAAGGCTTACAAGTAAACAGAGCCATTTACAACCAATTGTCCTGGTTAATGGGAGCCATCAAGATTCTAAGCCACCATTAATGGCCCACACTTTGCATAGGTACAATAGGACTTCAGAGTAATACTTCATATTTCTAGCTTCAGATACAAGAATGATACATTCATACAAATAGGATGAACACACTTAGTAGATTATAAGCTTTGTAATGATACCTTACAAGAGACCTTTTGCATAAAGCATATTCCAGTTACATTATATTCTCACTCATTAGCATATTTTCATAAAAATATGCAGTGCAACGTCACAGGAGCTACAACAACAAGTCAGCATGGCGAGCCCAGAGCTCATGAGCAACTCTACAATAACAAATCAGTGTGTGTGGCTTTATTCATAAGTCACCTTGCAACAACAAAACAACAGGCACAGCCAGGCAGTTCTGAGCAGCACAACAATAACAAGCAAGCATTTGCCACTTTGTTCACAGCTTAGCCTGGTATGCACAGCTGTATGTTCATGAACAGCCCTTCCCAACACCTTCCCTCTGTGTGGAAGGTGCTCAGATACTATGGTGAGGGACAACAGCATAAAACCGTAAGATGGATCATTACAAATCACTATACACAGCTTTGTCTGAAAACCACCTACAATAACAGTCTGCCTAGCCCAGTGCTCATGAGCAAGCCTACAATAACTAACCCATGCACAAATGCATCCTCAATGGCAGGGAAGCTAATTTCAGCAAGGAATTGTATTTCAATCCCATGGTTCCAGAGGTGAAACTAAACTGCAGGTGACACCAGCTTTGGAATAGTTAAAAGCATTACCTTAGCAATGTGACTCCTTTCCACCATAATGAGTTAAACTGAGTTCCCTAGACCAGCACTTACCCCCTTCCTCCACCCTGAAGGCTTTTCCAAACAAATCCCCTCTGACATGTGTCCTCAGCTCTAAACCCTTTAATGAGGGGGTCCTACACTCCACGTGTCCCCTTTGTCTCTCTCTCTCCAGTGTCTCACTTCACAGGAGATGCTGGATTTGGGCTGGTAGCTGGGGAGTTGAGCACAGGGTTATCAGCAAAATGTGTGACAATTAAAAAACCTCTTCCTCCCAACCACCACCTTTTCATCATCCTCTCCCCATCCAGCCAAAGCTTTGTGCTGCTTAAGAGACAAACATAAAGCACCGGATCAGGCATGCGGATAAAAAACTGACCTGAGCTTCCCAATTATCATCAGATCAGAGGGGATAGTTGGGTAAGTCAAAAAGCTGAGCTACTGAATGTCAGCTCTCATTGCAGAAGGTGGGGAACAGAAAGCTACTTTTAAAAAAGTGGACAAGAAGATCTATGAATTTCTTCCAGTACAAGTAGGAAAACATTTGAGTATCACCATCCATATTATAACTACAGTCAGGGTCCCATTGTGCTAGGTCCTGTACAAATACAGAAAAAAAAAGACTGCCAAAAAGAGCTTTCAATATAAACAGACAAGATGTACAAAGGAAGTGTTGGTATCCCAATTGTACAGATGAGGAACTGAGGCACAGAGAGGCTAAGTGACTTGCCTGCGGTCTCTCAGGGAGTTTGTTGCAGAGCTAGGAATTTAACTCAGCTCTCCTGAGTCCTAGTCTAGTGTGTTAACTTCAAGGCCATCCTTCCTCTCAACAAAACCATTAATCTGCTGTGCTTCCTCCTTCCTACATGCTCATCAGTTAGGGTTTGTCTACATAGGGTAATTGACCAGAATAGCTATCCCAGAATAACGAGGGTTAATGAGGTTACATCAGGAAAAGAAAAACGTGCATTTGGTATCATTGTTCTTTATTTCTAGAGCAGTAGAATGTCAGCACCCCAAACAGGGATGAGTGCCCATTGTACAAGGCACTGTACAAACAAATACACACAGTTCCTGCTGCACCCGGGGACTTTATTGCAAACTGATAACATGATGAAGTCCGTTGAGCTGTGGAATGGTCTCCCTGAGGAGTGGCTGAAGCCCCATCACTTATGATGGGTAAGGTCCCATCATCCTCAAGAATCTGGTACACCTACCATGATACCTGGAGTCCCAGTTCAGTGCACTATCCATTAGATCCTTTGGAGCTGAATGGGAATAGTTTACACTCACCCCGGAGGGATGCACATGCACCTGCCTGACATATCAAGAGAGTGCTCCATTATTTGGGACACTGAATTAGAGAATGTGCTGTAGGGAATAAGCCTGCACTGATGGAGATCTGGAGAGGATTAGACCAAGTAGGTCCAA